GCCCCTGTGTCAAAATAAAAAAATGAAAGGGGCAGGGGATGTGGTTTGACACAGAGGTCCCGTGTTCAATCCCAAGTGCCACTAAAAAGAAGAAAAAGTGCATCTCCATAGAGCAGCGCTCCTGATACAGCGTGGAGCACACTTACAGTGGCTGCCGTAGCGTGAGTACCTGCTGCGTGCCAGACGGTGGCTGAGTCTTTTCCTAGAACTCTTATCTTTACGTTAAAACAGAATAAACAATCTTGCTAGCAGATTTGAGTGCCAGGACTGAGATCATGTACTTGTTTAAGGTCACAGGACTAGACAGTGAGTAAGCTAGAATTGAAATGTAGGGTTTTTTGCTCTCGGGTGGCCGTGCCAGAATGAGGTACTTGTGACTTAACTGTGTAAGGGGGCGGGGAATAGCGCACACCTGCAATCCCACTACTTGGGAAACTGAGGCAGAACCATGAGTCTGAGGGCAGCCTGTGCTACCTGCTGAGGTCTTCATTCAAAACCCCGAAAGGAAATGCGGGCAACACGTTACAAAGAGGCTAAGAAGAAGATTCCCCAAGGCGGCAGCAGTGGATTACGGTGGTAGAATCGTAGTTGCTGTGCTTTGGTCTCTTCTGTTTTTCCAGTCTTACTACAACTACTGTATACCTTCAAAGAAAATGTAGGGCTGGGTGTGGCGATGCACACCTTGGGACACTGAGGCAGCACCATGAATTCAAGGCCAGCCTAGACAACACAACAGGACCCTATCTTTTTATTTTATTTTATTTTTCAGGACCCTATCTTTAAAAAAAAGAAAAAGAAAAATTGTAAATTACTAGAACCTTTAGAACAGCATTGCTTAAATTCTGTAGTTTTCCTTTTTTTATTAATAATGTGCTGGAAATCAAACCGAGGGCCTGTGTACAATAAGCGAGCATTGTGCCACCGGGCTGTTCTCCTAGCGCCCAAGAGCTTTACTCTTGCTCTTTTTGAAGAATATTTCGTAAGTAGGTGTGTTGGCATAGTCTGTAATTCTAGCACTCGGGAGGCCGAGGCAGGACGATTTCCATGAGTTTGAGGCCAGCCTGGGCTACGTAGTTAAAGCCTGCCTGCCTGAGTACATAGTGAGGCCCTATCTCAATCCCTGTGTTTAAAAAAATTTTTTTTTCTTGAGCTCATTGAGGTAATTCCAGCTACTGAGGAGAATGAGGCAGGAAGATCACAAATCAAGGCCAGCCTGGGCAACTTAGACATTGTCTCAGAAGGGTTGCAGGGAGGGGGTAGGATTGATCCTCATTGTTCCCTTGGTTCAGTTCCCAGTACTACAAAAAATTATTTTAAAAATCTGGGTTAGGGAAATAGCTCAGCAGCATAAATGCCTGCCTGGCAAGCGGAAGGTCCTGAGTTTGATGTTTGATCCCTGGTGTACACACACGCGCGCACACACACACACACACACACACACACACATTTATTGAGCTGGGCATGGTGGCAAACACCTGTAGCTCATGAGGCTGAGGCAGGAGGATCGTTAGGAGTTTGAGACCAGCCTGGGTTACAAAGTGAGCTCAAAGCCAGCCTGAACTGCACAGCGAGACCCTGTCTCAAAAAGACAAAAATAAAAGTTTAACTTACTGAAACAGTAGCCTTTTTTGTGTACTGGGGTTTTTGTTTATTTTTGTTTTTGAACCAGGAATCAAACTGAGGACCTTGCACTTGCCAGGCAGGCACTTGAACCACTAAACTATATCCCTGGCCCCAACAGTCTTTTTTTTTTTTTAAATGTATTTGGTAGAGGGTCTCTGTACACTATACAGCTTGGACTCATAGTGATCCTTCTGTTTTCAGCCTCCCCAGTGCTAGGATTACAGGCGTGTGGCACCACGCATGACCACCGGATGCAAGGTCTTGGGTGCTGGCATGCCTGGGGGTGGGGGCAGGGTTGGTGTGGCATGTGGTGCCAGGGATCAAACCCAGGTCCTTGTGCTTGCCTAAACAGGTGCTTGGTCAGCAGAGCTATCTTGCTGCCCCTCCAATAGTCTTAAAAAAAAAAAGTAATAATAATGTTTTTGGCATAAAACATGGAAGCAAGGAAAAAAGCTATTTCTAGTCTTGTCATCCTGAGAGGAATAGTCTTGAGACTGCTGAATTCTACTTTTAATGTTTTGGGGTTTTTTTGTAATTTTTAGGGCAGGGTCTACAGCTGTTCAAGGTCTCACTAACAGATCAGACTGGTAGTGATCCACCTGTTTACAGCCTTTCAAAAGCTGGGATTACAGGTGTGAGCCATCACGCCCAGTCTCAATTGCCAGCTCAGTGGGGCTGGGGCCAGCAGGGCAGGCCCAGGAATCGAATCCTCAGGTGCTTTAATCTGCTGAGCTATTTGGCTGGCCCTTAAATTTTTTTCTGATTTTCACTCATTTATTCATTCCATTAAGTATCTGTTTTACCACAGTCTTGTCTGCATTGGTATTGCCAGCAGAAATACTTAAGTAGTACCTCAGCTTTAATTCCTAAGGCAAACAATTGAATAAATGTAGAGTTTGAAACAAAGAAACTTTTGTCTGTTTCTTGGAACTAGATTAAAGCTCTGAAGCCAAGACCATCCTTTTACTTGTTCTACTCAGCCATCTTCCTGGCCCCTAAATATAAAAGTTTTAAGCTATGTCCTTTAGTACTGTGGGGTAAAATCCTTGTTTTTAAAAAGTAGCCAAGTTTTATTAAAGATCTGAAAAGAAACAGGCTCTTAAGAGTGAGTATGGGCCAAGTGGAAGTAGGAAAATAAGTATATAGCCAACAGCGTGAGGGCAGGCCACCAGAGGAGAGAACAGAGTGGCTGCTCAGGCTTGTTCTGTGGTAGGGTCTCAGTGGGCATGTTCAGGCTGGCTTTGAACTTGCAGCAGTCCTGCCTCAGCCTCCAAGTACTGGGATGATAGGCATGAGCAGCCATGCTCAGTTTAAAATCTGTTTTTAAAAAGTAATTTAAAAAGTGTTTTTAGGTGGAGGCTAGGGGAGGAAGGAGTTCAGTTACTTACAGAACAAAAAGAATAGCTTTATGGATAGATGAGATTTTTCTTTTTTGGTGCTGGGGATAGAGCCTAACACCCCCATGCCAGTACCAGGGATTAAACACAAGGCCTTTATGCTGTGTTACATCCACAGCCCATTGTTGTGTTTTGTTGACTCACTGTCCAAATTTCTTAGTTTGGACACAAACTTGTGGCCTTTTTGCTTCATCTTCCCTGAATGCTGGGATTACAAGTATGTGCTACCATGCCGGACTGAAGCCCAGGACCCTGCAAATGCTAAACGTAATGGTCTGTCTCTGCGCTTTACCTGCAGCTTAAAAAAAATGTTTGGATTGGTTTGGTTTTAAAGTTTTTGACTCACATTTCAGTCCATAGTCAGCTGGCTCAAAGGTGAAACAGCTGGCAGAGTGGCCTGGTGGAGAAGAATTGCCCTCTGCATGGCAGAGAAGGAGCTGGGGGGAGGTCCACCCTTCCAGCTTCTACAACCCCCACCTTCCCTATAATCCACCTTTCCAAAGCCCCACCTATGAGTGTGTGAGTCTTGAGGGATGTCTAGATGTGAACCATAACATTTCATCCCTGACCCCTGAAAGGTTCCTGCACATCTCTTCGTGCAGAATGCACTCAGTCCATCTCTAAAGAGTTGTTGAAGTCATAACTCGGTTTCAGTGTCCCTAGGCAGACCTTGAGTGCAGTGTCCTTACCTCGGGCTTTGTTGTTTGTTGTAGATAGCATCTCCCTGTGCAGTCCCAGCCAGCTCTGAATTCATTGTGTAAACCACCAGACTAGCCTTGAACTCACAGTGACCTTTCTGCCTCAGCCTCCCAAGTGCCTGGCTCTGGCTTTCTTAAATGTCCCTTTTCAGTTTAGTGGAGCCTTGCTGGTTCCTCACATGCCTGCCGTGCATTAGCTTTTTTTTTTTTTTTTTTTGCGGAACCGGAGATTGAACTCAGGCCCTTGCGCTTGCCAGGGAAGCGCTTATTCCACTGAGCCGCTTCCCCTGCCCCGATTAGCTTCTTTTTAACGCTAATCTTTTCAGCAACTAAGCTTTTCTCCAACTTTGCCAGCTCTTCCTTTGGGAAATTAAACACTTTTCAACAGGCTATTTTCCTCTGATTTTTAGTATAAACCAGACTAAAAGCAGCAACTTTGCTGCAGCTACATTTTCTCTACCAGTTTAGTTTTCTGTAGTCTGTAATCTCAGAACATGAGCAAAATGTAGACTTTTTATTTTTTTTCCCTCAAGCGTAACACATGTAGCTTGGACTCCAACTGTCTAGGAAAGTAGAGTCCTTCTTTCACATTACTGTCTCCTGAGCCTGGTCTTTACCATCTCCTGCCTTTTTTTGTTTTTAAATTTATCGTTCCTTTTGTGTTTTGTTTTGCAGATAGGTTCTCACTTTTTAGTGCAGGGTGGCCTTGAACTCTCTATGTAGCCTATGGTGCCCTGGGACTCACAAAGATCCTCCTGCCTTACCCTCCCAAGTGCTGGCATTGTGGGCTTGTACCCCCATACCAGCTTTACCATTTGCATTTTTATCCTCATTCTGATCTGCTACCCTGACCAAAATCTCCCATCAGGCCCAGTATGCAGCATTATAGGGGTGCTTCTATAATTACTGTATCTAAACCTTTCCAAATTCTTCCAGTGCATCATTCCAGAGGTTTTAATCCATGTGGCCAGGTACTGTTACAGCAGTGGCTGCATTCTCAGTTCCAGTATTTATTTCAGGCACTTTCTTTGTCACTGGAACAAAATACCTGACATTAGCAACTTGAGAGAAAAAAGAGGTTTACTGTGGCTCACATTTTCAAACCGTAGTTGGCTGGCTCCCAGCAGGCAGGGCATGGTGGAAGGGCTGGGGCACAGAAGAGCTGCTCGTGTCATGGTGGCCAGGAAGCCACAAAGAATGTCTACAATAACTGTTTGGACAGTGGTTGTTTCTATGCCAAGAAGTCTCATAAGTTTCTAATTTTCTTTGTTTTTCCAACCAGCACAACAGATTTGTCTTGGATTGTAAAGACAAAGAGCCTGATGTACTATTTGTGGGAGACTCCATGGTGCAGTTAATGCAGCAGTATGAGGTAAAGGTGGAAGGGTGAGGGGTAGTTCTTGGTACTAACGTGTACCTGTAATTATTGGCTTTCATTCTGAACTGACCTGCTGTAGACCCATTCGTGACCATTAGAAGCTCTAGTATAAAGTACAAGGAAAATCAGGCCCACCTAATGGGATTGTTTGCCATCAAGCTTGATGAGACAAATCAACATTGTTTCTAATTAAACTATTTGTTGCTCCGGTTTCAAAAAAAACTAGATGGTTATTTATATTTGTCCTAGTTGTGAGTCTTCTCACTATTTGTATTTTGCCATTTTCTTATTTTACATATTTTTGTGGTTTTCCCAAATCCTTTTTAAGAGCTAGGCTTTCTTCTGAGGGAAATTCAAAAGAAAAGATAATTTTAAGGGGCCGGGGAAATAGCTCAGTAGAATAAGCGCAGGGGCCTGAGTTCAATCCCTGGTTCCAGGGGGGAAAAAAAAGAGCTGAGTAAGTTTCTGATGGGAAAGAAAGAACAAAAGAACAGAGTAGCATAAACTTCAAAGCACTTTAAACCATAAGTGGCACTAAATTTGAGTAAAGGAAATGGAAATTGTTATTTCAGTTGGTTCATAGCACACTGAAGTTGAAAGATTTCATTTCCTGCTAAGTTTCGCTTAATTACATCAACTTTTTCTCTTTAGATATGGCGAGAACTATTTTCCCCACTTCATGCACTTAATTTTGGAATTGGGGGAGATACAACAAGACATGTTTTATGGAGACTAAAGAATGGAGAACTGGAGAACATTAAACCTAAGGTGAAAGAAACTTGTTATGTTATGTTATGTTATGTTATGTTATGTTATGTTATGTTATGTTATGTTATGTGGATGTCAGGGGCCGTGGATTTGGCTCAGTAGAATAAGCGCTTGCTTGGCAAGTGCAAAGGCCTGAGTTCAATCCCCGGTTCCGCCAAAAAAAAAGAAAGAAAAAGAAAAGAAAGAAACTACTCACCCATACTAAAAGGATGTCATTAATTTGTTCAGCTATCTGAAATGGTAGTAGAAATACATTCCTTTTAAAAGTACCATTTCAGTACTGGCTTTTGCTTTGTGTCTCTTTAAGGTCAATGACATCATTGCATCAGAAAGTACTAAGGAAACCAAGGTTGTGTTTGTAATTGTTACAGTTATCGTCTTCTGTTGTAGGAAGAAATTGGGTGCAAATGATGTATGTGTGCTGTTGTGTAGAGTGCATGGATCTGGGACAGTGGGGGAGAACTGCTCAGGTGGGCAAGGGGCTGGACCATGAGGGACTTTGGGAAGTGATTTGGATTTGTTTAGGCATATAAACAAATTGATAATCAAGGCCTCCAAGTTCTTCTGAAGAAAATTTGGACTAGGTATGAACAAATAGTGTCTCTACCTAGTAACCTTATCACATTATAAATATCCTGAGTTGGCACAATGCGTGTAATTTTTTTCTAGCCATAAAAGACCCAGTGCTAAGCTGCTAACAAAATTTGCATTCATTGAAGATATTTATTCTTTGCCTTTGTAACAGAAAAATTCATCAGTGTGCCTCTTTTGAGACAGAGTAGAGCGTTATTTTTTTGGGTCGTATAATAAGATATGTGGGGCTGGGGAGATAGCCCAGTGGAATAAGCGCTTGCCTGGCAAGGGCCTGAGTTCAACCCCCGGTTCAAAAAAAAAAAAGTATAATAAGATATGTGTCTCTAACTGACAGCTACTTTGAGTTTTTTGTTTGTTTGTATTTAGTGCAGGGTCTACAGGGTCTTACTACACAGATAAGACTTGTAGTGATTCTCCTGTTTTCAGCTTCTCAAGCACTGGGATTACAGGCACGTGCCACCATGCCCAGTCTCAATCTCAGCCCAGGCTGGCCTTGAACTTGCAATGATCCTCTAGCCTCAGCCTTTCAAGTGCTGGGATTATAAGCATATGCCACCCCACCAGGTCTTCACTTTTATTTATACGTGTGTGTGTGTGTGTGTGTGTGTGTTATTTTCATAGAATTTAATCTATTTTTTTTATAGCTCCTGGATTTTGAGAGATTAGCTTCTTAACTCTATGATTATAGAAACCTCTTGTTTCCTCCTAGTAAAGTTTTGCCACTAAAATATTAATCTCCTTGGGGGCCAGCACGATAGCTCAGTGGACTAAAGCTCCTGCTTAGGCAGGCACAGGGACCGTGTGGATCAATCCCCTATACCACACGCATCGCCAGCCCCTGCCACAGCATCTGAGCAGAGTGGCGCACGCCTGTAGTCCCAGTGCTGGGGAGGCTGAAAGCAGGACGATCACCATGAATCTGAGCTGTGTGATGAGACCCTGCAACAACCAAATACATTAAAAATAAAAAATGAATCTACTTGAAAGTGTACTCTGATACATAGGAGCTATAAGTCACTGTTTAAAGATAAGTACCCAGTTAAAGCTATGCAATGCCATCTGAGAAATTCATGTTTCTTTGACTTCTGAGATAACAATTTTCATAAATGCTGCAATTCTTTATTCCTCAGTATTTATCTTTTTTACCCTTTTTTATTCCTTCCTCTGTAGGTCATTGTTGTCTGGGTAGGAACAAACAACCATGAAAATACAGCAGAGGAAGTTGCAGGAGGTATCGAGGCCATTGTACAGCTTATTAACACAAGACAGCCGCAAGCCAAAATCATTGTATTGGTATGTAGCCTTTGGGTGGATGGAAACTTTAGTCTTGATATCTGCTGAGGAATATTTTTCAAAATGCAGTTACTCATAAATACAGAGTATATTTAGATGGATGCAATTTATGATACTCCTTCTGATCTATTCTCTGGTATATCCTGCTCTAATTGGTCTCATTCTGCATACTAAATTTGGGGTCATCTTTTGATTTTCTTTTTGGTCTTTTTTAAATATATATTTAGTATAGGGTCTAACAGGGTCTTACTATGTAGATTGGACTTATTGTGATCCTCCTGTTTTCAAGCTCCCAAGTGCTGGGATTATAGGTACATGCCACCAAACCCAATCTCAGTCTCAGCATGCCCCGGGGGTGAAGCTGGCACAGTACTCCAGGATCAAACCCAGTCCCTTAGGCGCATTAGTCTGCTGAGTATCATCCCTTTTTTTGGATTTTTTTGAGACAAGAGTCTCACTATGTAGTTCAGGCTGGCCTTGAACTCACTTTGTAGTTTATGCTAGTCTCACTTGCAAGGATTCCTCTGCCTCAGCCTCCTCCAGTGCTGGAATTACAGGTGTGTGCTACCACGCCCATCCTTGCTCATTCTTTTTTTTTAACTTTTTTTTTTTCATAACTTTATTGAGAAACCAATAGCAGTGAGACAGTTTCAAAACCGAATTGGTAGGACAGTTGCAATAATTAACACATTGCATACATTCTTCCTAGTGGTTAATTCCTGTACAAGATGCAGACATGATATCCTATTTACAAACACTATTAGAACAAATCCCTCTATTCATTAACAGAATGCAACTATATATCTATCCTAACCATTTTGAATACACAGATATATAATGGACATTCATCTGTATCCCCTTTTTTTGTTAAGTTCCATTATTTGAATATGATAGGTGTGTTAACTCAGCATAATATTCCAAAAGAGTCCAGTAGTCCATAATAGTATTGGGTCTTCCGCTTCACTGGCAATGTCAGAAATTGTTGACCTGAGTCCCCTACAGCTCAACATAACAGCATGGCTTTACTTCTTTTTTTAAACATTTATTTATTTATTTATTTATTGTGGGGGGGGCAGCTCAGCCCACCAGGGGGCGCGGCTGGCTGGCATGTGGTGCTGTGGGATCGAGCCGCGGTCCCTATGCTTTGCCAAGCTTGTTCCAAGTAGGTGCTTTAGACCACTGAGCCATCTCGCCAGCCCCGGCTTTACTTCTTATACTTCGTTTTTATACTTTTCTGCTGGATGGTTAAGACCAAGGTAAAGCAGGATCTATACAGCAAGAGTTGTAGCTTTTGGGTCTGATAAGGTCAGTGAAATCCCCTCGGGATTTATCCTGAGATCCTGTACCTCAGACTTGCTCATTCTTTGGCAGTGTACCCCTCCCTTTTTTGTGGCACCCTGGGGGTGGGGCTGGCACAGCATGTGGTGCCAGGGATTAGACCACTGCACTATCTCACTGCCCCCCCCCCTTTTCTTTTTTTGCGGAACTGGAGATTGAACTCAGGCCCTTGCGCTTGTTATCTCCCTGGCTTAATGGGCTAAAGATAGCTGTTTTTTTCAGTGGAGAAGTCTAACTCTGAGCCATGTGTGTTGGTGCATGCCTACAATCTCAGCACTTGGGAGGCTAAGGCAGGAAGATCACCGCAAGTTCAAGCCTAGCCTGAAATACGCAATGAAACCCTGTCTCAAAAAAACAAACAATAAAACATGTAACAGTGAAAGCACTGTTGTAGATTCTGAGTATGTAGAAATGAGTACAGTGAGGCCGGGGAGATGGCTCAGTGGAATAAGCGCTTCCCTGGCAAGTGCAAGGGCCTGAGTTCAATCCCCGGTTCCAAAAAAAAAAAAAAGAGTACAGTGGCGTCTTTGGGAGCTCAGCCTAGCAGATGGAGACAGCCACACAGCTGCTGATAAGAGCCAGGGAAGTAGTGGACGGAGAGGGCAGCATGGTATGGTGGAGACGTAAAAGTGGGCATTGAGTTCCAAGGAAGTCAGGGGTGTTCACACACGTGAAGAAAGGAAAGCAGACGAGCAGGGGGGTGAAGAACCAACCACAGGCCTGTGTGCACGGCACGTGTGCACAGGGAGCAGAGAAGAGTGCGTGGTGCAAGGCTGAGGTGTTGAGACGAAGAAGGCCACAGAGAGTTCGGATGTTCACTGTCTGCTTACTGATGTTCTTGTTTCTATTCTGCCTTACTCTAGAAAAGATTGTACACCATTGTGGTTGAGTCCACCTTTGAGCTGAGCGGGGCGGCACACACCTGGAATCCCAGCCAGGAAGTTCACGGTCTGAGGCCCTTTCTCAAAGTAAAAAATGATGCGGCTTTGCAATAGAACACTCGCCTAGTGTGTGCAAAGCCCTGGGTTAGGAAGAAAAGAAAGAAAGGAAGGAAGGAAGGAAGGAAGGAAGGAAGGAAAGAAGGAAAGAAGGAAGGAAGGAAGGAAGGAGAGAAAGAAAGAAAGAAAGAAAGAAAGAAAGAAAGAGAAATAAAGAAAGAGAGAGAAAGAAAGAAAGAAAAGTCCACCTCTGAAATACGATAGTTGCTTAGGAATCTGTGAATTGCTGAATAAATTTTCTGTGATCTGTCCTTTCCTCCTTCCCTCTTAGTTGAGGCAGCCTTGAACTCACTGTGGAGCCCAGGCTGCCCTTTAACTCTGTCTGTCCTCCTGCCTCAGCTTTCCTCTTACTGGGATTGCACGTGTATGTCACCTTGCCCAATGTAGGACATGTTTTTATCTTACGCAATATTTATGGCTGTGATTCATCAAGACAGTGTTGGTTCAGCCCTCTATGGTATAGCGTCCATGTGGCATTATAGGTAGAAAGATGTTGGAACAGATTATTCTGATGGCTTTATGGAGAGGGGATTAAAGGAAGAACAAAATTGGAACTAGGAAGACTATTCAGGAGATTTTCTGTTGATTGAGGTGAATAATGCCAAGACCTTAATCCATAGCAGTATATGTAATTAAGATAAGGAAAAGATAATGTGTGTGTGTGTGTGTGTGTGTGTGTGTGT